TAAAGCAAGGGACCAAGAAAGCGGCCCTGCAAAATTCTACACACAAGGGTTACAGTGTCTGAAAATTAACCATTGAAAGTAAAAAAAAAATTAAATTAAAAAACTAAAAGTGCCACAAATGTGGTCAGAACTTTACAAAGCTCTCATAATGGGCATAAATGTTCTAATATTTAATGAATCTTTTGAAACCATTGTTTTTCCATCATGCAGTGATTAAAACTAATTACATTGCATTTATTGTTGCTTTTCTCCATCCATCTTTCTCCTGCCCATTTGACAGAAAATACAATCTGAACTGTGGCAAAATGTCAGCTAACAGGTTACATCTAATTCAAGCCTTATGAAAACATGACATCTACTACGAGAGTGTTTCATTATACTTTTCCCTGCACAGCAACACACACGTTGTTTGCCTGCGGCTCCCTCACATGCAGACACGCAGTCAAACCTCCCTGTTATTGGTGTTAGTAGCTCATACATAAACATGAATTACGATAAACAGAACCGCTTTTGGTGAGATGTTTAAACAGGGAGTCAGGCAGCCTGACAGGCTCACCATCAGGGTCTAACACCAAACACAGAGAAGATATGCAGGCATCACAGTCTGAAAATGTCAACATTCAATCTGTACTTCCCTTTTCTGGTGCTTACTATCCATACATATTAAAACCATTTAGATTTACAATCATTTTCATCCTAATTTTATTCATTTACTGGGTCTTTTTTAGCTTGAGCAGGTTAATAATTATGTGCTGCTGGGTGTGCCTGTGAGCTGACCTCTTCGCCAGACACCGCTGTTTAGTATTCCAGTCCGAGGCAGATTTTCAGCGGCCAATCATCTCACAGTCTTACCATTTCAACACACACACACACCAACACCCAGATATAAATTTTATCATGCTGCTACATAATTTTCTTGCAAGTTCAAAGGCAGAGTTAATCAACCCTGATCAATGTTCATTTTATGGCCACAAAGATAAAATGATAAAGCTATACATAATATTACCCAAAGATTAGAAGCTTTTTGTCTTTTAGCTGATAGCGTCACCGAGCTGATTAAGTCTGTCAAAGTTCCTGACCCATAGAGAGCCTGGAGGAAGATAGGTTCTCAAATTACCTCAGTGTGGTGTGTGCTGGAAAGAAAAAAAACCTGGGTTATCATGGTTCAACAGTGATGTGGCAATTATATGGTGGTGTTTTTGGTAATTATTACTGCAATATGCAAATAAAAAAAAGTAATTAAACGGAATCCTTCTAGATTTTATCTAGTATCCTTAAAGCACAATGGTATATTTTCGATTTAATAGTGTAAACCATCGTGTCTTATTAAGTAGACGTTATAACTTCACCGAACAAGTGCATATGTGATCTATTCTCCATTTAAACCAGGTATACATTACGTTTTTCATGTTTTTGTTTAGTTTTGTTTGAGTGTTTGAAAGTAATCAGATGCTAGAAGCGGATTGGTCCACTGAACAACTGCAAAGCGAGGAGGTAACGTTGGACCTGCCTCCCCCAAGAAGAGCGACGTAAGTATTACTGAGGCTTATTCCAGGGCAACATGCATCTAAAATTGATTCCAGCACAGAGAGTCTTCCAACAGTGTTGTCCAACCTTGGCTTTATTTGAGAGACTTGTCCTCTAGAATGACTCCTGGAGATTCTGTGCCATCTTTGTCGAGCTTCTAGCTTTCAAAACTCCCCCTCAAATCTAAAACAAGCCATTTAGGACAGTTGCTAAATGCTACCTTTTTCACATGTGAAAGACATTAGTAAAAGGTTAGCTTGCTTTTACAAAGGGCTACAAGCGAGAATCAAACGTGATTAACATGCATAACGGTCATCTCCACAACAACACTCATCTCCAACATTACCTTTCCTTTCACTGCAACTGCCATCAAAAGGAAAGAACCTGGATCCAGAGAAGGGGAACTCCATCCTTGAGGTCTGGTGTCCTGCAACTTTGACATTTCTGCATGATGGAAGAATTTTTCATAGATCTAATAATGATCAAATAATTTGATTCTGGGGCACTGAAATAAAGACAAATATCAAAGTTGCAGGACATTGGACTTTATCAAAACTTTGACAGCTCGTAATTACAGTACAAAGCTGACTTTACAGTATTGTTGAACCATGGAGTTCATGATTAAACTGGAGTTAAAAATTACAGTTGAAAAAACTCTCAGTGTGACTCCAAACCTCTCCCAGATGATCAAGCTTCTCCTCTCTGAGGGAATGCCCTGTGGTTAATTTCAACCACTTATATCCATTGGTAAATAGTTTTGTTAAAGATTACTAAGTCATTACCAGGAAGCAATAGCCAAACAGCAATCTCTCTCAGAAATTTCTTTATGAATAACAGCCTGTTAAGGTATGTTCTTATCCCTAAACTAGACTAGTAACATTCCTCTATACTACAGAGTAAAATGGAAAGATAAAAGAAAAAATTAAATCAACAAGAAAATTTGTGAACGGGAAAAAAATGATAATTAAAATGAGACCAATAAAAGGATGAAGTAATGTCAGTATATTCTTTTGAGGAATTGTGATTGAAATAGTTTGTGGCACCTTTAAAGCAAAGTGCAAAACATTTTAGACTAAACATTTAAGCAGTTAAATACCACAAACAAAACACAATAAATCCTGTAACACTTTTCTATGACCAGACAAAACATGATCGTCTATGAGTAATAGATGGGTTCATATAAGAGGGCGGGAAAGCAGTTGCACTCAGTCAGCAACTGGCTTGCTACACAAGCTGCAGTCCTGCTTCTATGTTACTAGAGATATATTTTGGGGGCAGTTAGTTTTATTTTTAGCCAGGGTACAGTTGAGGATAGTACAGGATCAAGAAAATCACACATGTCCTCACCAATAATACGGGAGAGCTTCAGGCAGAGAAATGGAGAGCTGCTGTGCACCAAGATTTGTTGCTCTATAACTTCACAGGGACTCCTGCTGTGAAATTCAATGTTCCTACAAGCTGTTATGAAAATGGTTTAATGTTGTGCATTCTGGTATTTAGAGTTTTTACAAGTCTCTCTTGTCGTCTTTTTTTGTTAAATGGGTTAAATACTGTCAAAGGAAATACATACCTAACATCTAACCCTAACCTACCCTAATCCTAACCCTAATCTAAATCTTTAGTTTACATTGGTTAATCCCATAGGCAAACACGATGTAGAACATTACGGGCTTAAACTAATTGCTGCAATATGCATGCTATCTGGATATATCAACACCATGTATAAGCCCTTTGATGCACCTGTTTGGTCCAGATCTTCTCTCACTATATAGTGAAAGAAGCCATCAACAGGCCAAAATAACTAGGCTGAAATTAGTAGGAAAGGAAAAGGCATAGAAATGGAGGGAAACTGCCTGCATGCTGCATTTTTGTTCTTCTTATTTGTGCTGCTATTACAGCAGCAATATTACTGTTATACTCATGAAAAGCTCATTTAACCCAGATTTTGCAACATTTTCCGATATTTTTATAACTGCTTTGGTGAACGCGTGCTGCAAGCCTTGTAACACAACGTCTATCTCCCTACCTCCATACCACCTCATGCCATTTCAATATATTGATTTGGTTTTTCAACAACAGCAAAATAAGAGAATGTTAGGAAAGAGATGACATCAGGAAGCCCATGCTAGGCCTTAGCCTTTTTCTAATACGCGTAACATTTACAAAATAGCACAAAAAATCACTTTCTGTATGCAAGTTTCTAAAAAAAAAAAAAAAAAGACTCTAAAAAAACCAACAGATAAATATAAATTTTAGCCCTGTACATGCTACATGTACATGTCAGTTTGTGAAATTCAAAAAACAATCCATACAACTCACCACCTTTAAATAAAACTAACTCTTACTGACATAGCAGCTTATCTGCATCATAAACTCTTCCGAAACAGAGAAAGCAAATTTAGGAGCATTGTCTGCAATCAGGAAGTGATCTAGCTAACAATACTTTTATTCTTAAATACCATTTATTTCACATGAGATGAATTTAATCTTTGTGACCCAGATATAGGCAAAGCTTGTGACTCTCTTTTCAAAACTTCTTTTTGACTGAAGATTGTCATTACCCCTCAAACTTTGGGTTAATGTGTCTCTATTGCGTTTAGGCAGACTAGAGTGAATTAGAAGGCCTATCAGGGCTATCTTTAAGATTACTTATATAGATGTTTGGACACACTGTATTATATTATACAGTTTACTATAATAATTATTCAAAATAATTATAAACTACTTTTTGAAAGTAACAGTTTATATTTAAGTCTATTAGTATTTATAAAACTCATATATAACTTTGATACCCAGTAGATTTAATTTTTTTTATCAAATTTTTGCATCTTCATAACGCATGCTTTACTTGAAAGAACAATATAAGGATTGCTTTTAATGACTTCAATAGTTATTGAAAAACCATACTTTTTAAGATTTCATTTGTAAGGAATGAAAACATCACATTGTTTTCATGTATCATCAAAGCCAAAACTGGAAGCTGAACGATCACAGAGAAAACATGTCCTTTGTGGGTCAACAATTAAAACACATTCAGTTACTACGACAATAAGAAGTCATGCTTTGAAAAGATGTTTTTAGACTGTGATTCATACCTATCTAAATGAAAAACAGAACACATAAATACAAGTATCAAGAGAAGACTTGAAAAGCAATAAAATCAGGCAGGTGTCATCAAAGAGCAGATGGGGGGAGAAACAGATGACAGTAGTGCCTGCCTTCAGAAACCACAGGGGGAGGTAGGTAACAAGGCTTAGGATTTTGATGTTGGAAAATGTATTGGAATATGGATAAAACCCTTTATGACAATCACATTAACACATTTAAAAATATTCCTCTCAGGTTTTGAACAGGGCTTACATTGCAGCAATCCTCACCTGGGGTGTTTTTTTTTATTTTTATAAAACCCTTAAAATGTTTCTTTATTTAAATATCACCATAAAATAAAACACACAATATCATTATGGAGAATATTTGTTATAACTTTTATTATTTATTATTATCATCATGGTCATCACTATTCTTCAAGTTTAGCTGTGTAACAAACTTTTCTTGGCTGTCAAAATATGTTGCTGAAATATAATTTTTTTGCATGAAAAGAAACTAAAAACAATACCGTACAGAAAGGTAGCAGAATAAAATACAACATGAGAAAGAAAATAATCTAAAATAAACAAATAATCTTCCCTACAAAAGCCAGTCAACATAGAAGAGACAAACTTCTACTATAATATACTGAATAAACATTAAAATGTGCTGTATGTATTAGAGTGTATATGGGTATTGCCAGTCAGTATCAAACTAGCCTTGGTTAACACTGTTTACCCCAAATTCTACACCCACTCTGTACCTATGTGTGTCTGCGTCTTGTCCCTTCCTTGGCAATAAGAACATAATAAATGGAGTGCAAGCAACAAATCCTAAGACACATTATGACAAAGACAAAACACGTGATAAGGCCTCCCAATGTAAACGCTGATTTGAAATGCCATCAAACATACAATCATCAATGAAGTAAAACAAGGCCTGATATTCCTCAGACCCAGAGCCATTTTTTTTTTTTTTTTTAGCATAATTGCATAATCGTTACCATGACCTAAAAGATTCATAAAGACACAAATGTCTCTTTATGCATAAATACAGTTTTCCTAAATGGGAGCGACATTGTCATAAAGCTGGTAACAGAACAAAAGCACATTGTCAGATGAGACTAGGTTCTGCAGGGCATTTATGAATTCAATACTACAAAGTTTTCATTGCTGTTCTTTTTTGCTCTCAACGCAATGGCAGACAAAGGATTTTCCTTCAAAAGCTAAGTCACTTGGCATAAAAAATTCATATTTAGCCCCTAAAAACCTCCCTGGTTCATCAAAATAAAAGTTCAAACCAGAATCTTCAAAAACAAGAGTAACATTCATTTACCTCCTTTTTTAAATCCCCTACATGTTTTTCTAAGCCCATAAAAGATATTAAAAAGAAAATGTTATTAGCAAGATCCTAAGCTGTATCCCAGTTAAATGATTTAATATGAACTCAAATCTCAAACGTTACTACAAAATCCATTTGATATATTTAAATTAAATCAGAGCTTTATTTATTTTAACAAAGCTTTAATTATCTAGATAAGTCAGCCTGTGAATTTTTGAGCAGCTGTGTTCAAATTGTCCACTCTTTCAGAATAGTTTATTTCATAGTATTCGATTTTGAAATCCTAAAAAGTAAATAGCCACCCATTTAGTAAAACTAGACATTTATGAGGGGCAGCATGGTGTAGTGGTAGATCATCCAGTTTATATGTAAGGCCTTAAAGCAGGATTTGGCCCCAGGTCTGCCTCCTTCTCACTCTGCCTGTCTCCTGTTATCAATAGTTAGCTCAATACAATGTTAGCATACCATCAATTTGCAGTTGAGCCAAATCCATTGTAAGTATGCTAAGACCAATGGTTGGCTCTCTACTGCTGGGAGCATGCCACAACCCCATCTGTTCCGGAAGCATGATTCGTACCATCAGCTCATTTACGCATGCAAATGATGTTGGATTTAAACATAAATCTAGTCTTTTTGAGTTTTATATTTTCCTTTCGTGTTACCTTTATGGGATATTGTCTGTAACCTAAAGAAAGCATTTACTAAAATGCAGATAAACATGGTTTAATCATATTTTGCCAGACTACTCTGAGCATGTCCGATGATGTCAGACTAGCAGTTTAACGCTGAAAATGTAAAAAAAAGAATCTAAATTATCTCAGAAAAAAACTTTTTTAAGGGGATGTATTAGCATTATTTAGAGAGTTAAGGATATAAATGAGTAATTGTAGTACCATAGTTATATTATTTATGGAAATCCGGATGTATACAGTATCTGGTTGCTTATGCGCAAATGAGCTGATGGTATGGATCGTACTTCCAGGACGAGTATGCCAACACTAACGATAAGCTCAGTGCTAAAGCAACTAAAACCACTAGAAAAAAGCTCATGGCAACAGCTACAGTAGGAACTGTAGCTTTCATACTTGTTTAACATCAACAGTGATTTTCCAGATTTCTCAATTTTAAAATAGCCTTCTTGTGACTTGAAGGCTTTAAAAATGTAATAAAATTTATATTTGAGGACTACCAAAAAGCAATAAATACTTTAAAGATGTCTAGTGTCACTATTTTTCTTTTTGTCTAGTTTCATATTTTTGAGATAAATATTTGTACAACAAAAAATACCACTTTGTACATTTAGACATAGACATGCTGAAATGAGCAAAATGTCAGGGTATTTTATTGATGGTCTGTCAAGTCGTAAATACTCTTCATGGTGGGTATGGGCAATGCAAAATTCCATTACTTTTTACCCAGATAAGTCTGATACAGTACAACAAAATCTCCAAAGGTATGAAATGTAGTTTCTATGAATTAATCTAAGTATAAATCACTCAGTATATGAGTGAACATTTTGAACACAGCATGAGTCTCTGATTGGTTGATCTTGGTCTGCATCAGTAAAAACACAGGAGGAGGAAGTCTCTTGAAACAATGAAAAGCAGATGACTGAGATGCACAGTGACACCTGCATACCGATAGATAAAATCAAGAAATTTGATGCTGAAAATATAGTTTAGGTAAAAAGACAAAACAAGGAAGAAAACAATTTCATCAGCTACTATAAGTCTAATTTTCTCCCACAAATTCTTCAAATGCCCCAATCCTTCCATCTCATGCAGCATCCTTCCACCCAGTACTTTGCTGTGTTTTAAAAACAGTGCATCGTTTTGTTCTGTTTTGCTACAAATACAGATGTAAACAATTTTTATATTAGAAGCTCCTTAGCAGATTGAAAGTTTTAATTTAAAGATCATGACAGACAAAGACAAAAATATTGACGATAGTTTGAAGGATACATGTTTTTGCTGAACATACGTACCTAAAGACTAGATCAGGTAAAATTTAAAGTAATTTTATACGATGGAGTAAACTGACATGGAGACGATAAGGTAATAAATGGTCAACTCCTTAACCCAAACTTGAACTCTCAAAGTAATTATATTGCACCAACAGTCTGCAGCTTTATCTTCAAATTTCTGTATGAAAAATTAAAAACGGATGAAAGACTGATTTATAAATAAAAGTTTAAAATAATCCACCTATGTAATATGAAATGGACAAAGTAACAGGTTTACTAAATGCAAAAGTATAGTTCTTAGCCCTTGGTTTATTTTATTCTCATAATAGTATGATATTTTACTTGCTGTAAAAGTTGTTTAATTCCCAAAAAGATGTCCTTAAGCTTTCAGTTTCAGAAAAAAAAAATCTATGTTCAATCCAGCTTATTTGAAGGTTTTATATATATATATATATATATATATAATTTAAAGGTGTTAGGTCAGGGCAATTTGTAAAAACATAGTGATAAAATAATCAAAAAGGTATTGCATGGTAACAAATAGCAATATTCTGTTCATATTACTTCTGTCTTCTTACATTTCATATATTTTGACAGCACAGCCGCAGGTCAATATTCATTTCTTGTGACTTGAAAACCTTGAGTAAAAATATAACAGATTCAGTAGCCTAGCTCTATCTGCTTTAAAAAAAAAAATTGTAATTTCTGTGGTAAGTTTTATATTTCATATGTATATTCAAATTCAGGTTGGATTCCATACAACCAGCAGCTCTTTGTAAATTCAACTGAAAGCTGGAAGGTAACACTTTTGACAGCAAGTAAAAATTAGTCTTTAATCTTAGACACAGTTGACTGACAGCGCAAAATTTGCCTTGGACAAGGGAGCACTCCGCTTTGAGCCGTAAATTATAGTTTTTTTCTTTATTCCAGCAACTTAATCAAGCACTTTATTGGCCATGGTAGTCTGCTAGCCTTTATGCTACAAGCAAATATACTAAGACAATTAGATTAGGGCCATTTTTCCCTTCAAAACAACATTATATTTAAAAATGCATTGCTTTTCACTCTGATAGTAGACGACCATAACATTTTGTGCATTTTCCTACCATGAAACATTACTGACTGAGAGAAAATGTTCTTCTGAGTTTTTAATGCAAAATTACAATGAGTTTATCCATGCTTGTTATGTTTTCCTTCCAATCATCTTTTAGTTAAAATCCTTAGATGTAGCAATCTATGAACAGCCTAGATTTTTAGCAATGACATTCTGCAGTCAGCAGTTTCATATTTGTTTTTGTAGGACATAAAATGCAAAAACGAAAGTTTTACGGGTAAAAATCCTTTTTTGTGGTAATTTGTGAAGAAACAGTTGTTTTTATCTGGCTAACGAGACTGTGTGTGTGAAGAGATTCAGTATTTTTATTTCAGTTGCTTGAATAAATTAACATTTTAGCCTGGTTTGTTTTTAGATGTACCTTTTGTCAGCTCACAAAAACTGGTGTGGAGGCACTGTGCTACTGGGTATTCCTAAAGCTACAGAATATGCCACACTGTACCTGTAGGAAGGCTATAAGCCAAGACGTCACTGTTTTCCAAACTGACTTTTTAATCAACTGTATTTTAAAGCCAAAAAGTGGTCCATTGCAATTATGAAAAAAAAAAAAAAGATTTAATATCATAAAAAAAAGAGCATGGGTTTGCAGGCACTAAGTGGATATACTTTTATAAATATAAAAAAATATTTCATCCTGTTTTTCTCTGTCTTTAATATCTGGCAAAGGAGTATCTTTTCATTTGTTTTCTAGCATCTAAGGCAGCGAGGCTAAAGAAGGCTATCTGTTTCGATAACAGGCAAGATAACCAACAACACTTTCAACTGACTGTGGGGACTCAAATGAAAAAAGTAAACAAAAACAAAGAACAATACAAAAGAAAAATGAGAACATTTCCTAAACCTCAGGGTTTGAAGGTACCAAGTTAATATATATATATATTTTTCTCCTATTTAAGTTTTCTTTGTCATTTATGGTAAAACACAACGTAACACGTTCAACCCATAATAAAAGCAACAGATGTCGCAGATTGCTGAAGATTCTAGCATGCTAATAAGACATGAAACACTGTAGGCAAGAATCTCTTAAGACTAGTTTATATATTTAACCCAACATCATAATCGTCTTTGATCAAATGTTGGGTTTTGCTCTCTAATTTATGAAATCTATTACAATTTGTAACCTAAACACATGTAGACAAACTAGAAGTTATAAAACTTAAAACAGTTTGACGTCTTGCTAAAAAAATAAAAACACATACGTAGGAAGAACAGAATTAAACAAAACGAAACATACTAGACATAACACTAATTTAACCGACCCTTTGACGTGTTCATACGATGTGTCACATGCTGTTATGAAGGCAGGTTGGTTTGCACATGTGACCCCTGAGGACTGAGAAACTGAGCATTCTTTATGTTTACATCACTGCTTAGGGACGGACGAAAACCCTTTGATCCTCACACATACACAGACACTATAAACGCAATAACAAATGTATACGTGCGCACTCAACCCCCTCAACTGTTGTACCTTTTTTTTTCGTTAGACGGCTTTTACCAATGTAACAAATCTCAATAAAGACAAAAACAAAAGAAAAGAGCTAAAATATGCTAATTTTTATAGTACCATTTCCTTTAAAAAAACCTTTACAAAACAACAAATAAGAAAATGTAGCAAATTGCATTTTTGTTTAGTTACACCATCATGGTTCTTCTTGTTATTACCATTATTATTAATATTCATATTATTAATATTAATGTCAAGCAGGTTAATAAATGTTTGTTCTATTTAGGCAGGCAGCCAGGCACATAGCTTGTATCATGGCACAGAGAAAGGTAAAAAATAAAGTCTTTAGTTTTTTTGTTTGTTTTTTTTTTCATCCAAATGATGAAAATAACACTTTAGACCAGCTTTATCAGTTTGACCTGGATTCAAGCAGTTTCAGAAAGGGTTAGCTCTAGTCTTCAGCCACCATGTCGATTTAGCATCGATCCAGGACCAGTTTGATAAACAGCACATGATAAAGTTTAAGGAACCGATCTATTTCGTACCAACAGATATGCAAACAAGCCCTAGCTGGTTTCAAGCAAAAATAGTTTGAAAACACCTAAAAGTGTCTCTTTTTGGTTTTTGATCCATCTGATAGGGAGAATAAAAATGTTCTGGGCAAGAGCACAGCAGTTCTAACCAGATCAGGTCTGGTTGTTCTGAATTAAATGCTGAATGCAGCAAAGTTCAAGTGTTATACAGTACTTCTTCTCTCATTGTTTCATGTCTTTCTTAGCCCAGGCGTTAATCCTCCCATATGAATGCACACAGATTGGCCGTTTCTGAGAGTTGATTGCAGCTGGATGCCAGCACCCTGTTGACTTCCTGCCACAAAGCTGTCAGGTAAGCCATAGCTCAGGAAAGCTTTCAGGCTGCTTTTTTCCTACAGCTCCATCTGTAGTTCACCTGGGTCCTACAATAATTTTCTCCTAGTCTTTGACAGTGGGAGGGCTTTTTTGAAGGTATTTCCATTAGGAAATGGCCAAACCTTCAGGAATATAAAGCCTAATACTCCAATAACAGGTTATTAAAGTTTGTGAGAGACATTTAATTTCCATCGGCGAGTCCGTCTAACATCTTAGTCCCCATAGTTGTGAACTCTGTGGACTCTGCTGTCCCACCTAATTCTTTACTTCTTTTTTGCTCTTTTTCAGCCTCTTGTATACTTTTAATATTCGAGTCTTGCTTTTTTTGATCGTCATGACCTGTTTTCATGACCTCATCCTCTTCATTTGTGATCCCTCCATCTTCCTGCTCCACCGTCAGGCTTTCAAGCTCTGGTGCTGCCGTTCCATGGAGAGGTTCACCCTCTGGTACGGTACATTTCTGCTGAGGCAGTGGAAGCGTTTTATGCAAACCCCTCTGTATGTGCGTGGTGAAGTCATAGCGGTCCGTGCACACGTGGAGGCAAAACGCACATTGGTAAGGCTCCTTCTCACCATGGCAGCTCATGTGCAGGGCATACATGACTTCGTCCACAAAGTAGATGCCGCAATGGGCACAGCGGTTGGCAAGGTCATCCTGTGTGGCTGCATCGACTTTCGAGCAGTGAGGCGCATTGCTTGACTTACGTTTTCCTTCCTCCAACATCTCTTCATCTTCCTTCTCACCTCTCCAGTTTCCAGCTGATGTCTCACTCCGGGGGGACTCCTGTGTTTTCCTTTCAGGACCCTCTGGCATGTGGGTGTTTGTGCTGCTCAAATCTCTTTTTATTGCAAGATCCAAAGGAGCGTCGTTTTCAGGTGAAGCCGAAGATGAGGTTTGGGTATGATGAGGAGGAGGGGGGTAGTGAGCGGGAACTGGATGTGGTGGGAGAGGAGAGTAAGGGGACGCACAGTAAGGCACCGTGTATCCTGGCTGGTGATATTGTACGGGGGTGACCATGGTTCCAAGTTGGTGAGTGCTGTTTCCAAGCCCACTGGGGCTGTTTAGATTACTGATGGTACTAGGAACCCCAGAGGTGGCTGCCATCTTATACTTAGTCCAGAATCTGAGCCAATCAGATTCAGGTGTCAAATCAGGTGACAGGGTCAAAGGCAGAGCTAATGGGAAAAGGGGATATTGATATTTTTCAATCGGCGAACCTGGAGGTGAGTAACTAGAGGGTTTAGATGGACGCATGTACTTTTCAATTGGACTTCCTCTCTCTGATCCTCCACCTTTCCCAACATCTAGTTTTGACGTTAATCCACCATCTGCAATTCCACCATTGCTCTCAGCCACTATGCCTGATGCAGGATGAGATGGAAGGAGGAGAGGAGGCATGCGCCTATGGATCTCCAGCGTCTGATTGGCTAAGAAGGCTTGAGTTGACCGTGGGGACCGAGAGCGCGGGGAAGGCTGCTGGTTTTTCGTTGATGGGCAGCTCCTGCTCTCAGACTCCTCACCATTCAGGCGCTCCTCACTGGTGATTCGCTGCTGCTTAGGGGCCGGATTGTCGGACGACAACGTATCTGGATTGAGCCGTTTTCGGGTTCGCCGGCGGATGATTTGCTCACCGTTGTTCTGCTTGATGATGTTCAGCGGCCTGGGAGTCTGCAGAGAAAAGAAGACAGTGATATCAGACAGTTTCCCATTCTGTTAGATGAATAAGGCTGTTAATTACCAATAAATATGTTTACTGATTGAGAAGCCATTTTAATTGTATACAGTGTGATCAAAAGTAGATAAAATATGGTTGAAATAACTTATTTCTAAAACTATTCATAATAACAAATAAAGCCAAAATATTTTTTTCTGTGCACTTAAACATGTAAATGTCTGTTGATTGATTATTCTGATTGAATATTGTGAAATTTTACACTCATAATCTTTAAGATCAACAACTGCTATAACCCACACTTTTTGCCCTAAACACAAGGGGGCACTCTCCTATCTTAATAAATTTACCTCCAGGACACAAGCCTAACTTTACCATGAAAAGTGGCAAGGTCCTAAAAGCATTGCATTTTAATGATCTTTAACTAAAACAACTGTTTGAAGATTGAAAAGATATTCAGCTTTGCATTCAAATGTGTTAGTAAGCACATGCCTTCTTTTCTTCAAGGTAGAATGAACTGCAGACACTGATGAGAATTTGCTCATTTATTTATGTAGATTAAAAAGTGACTTCAGAATTCCCATACTACAGAGTCTAAATTCTCTTCTGTATTATTGAAAGTATATTTATATTCGTTTTTTTTTTAAAGATACAGATCTGAATATTATTGTGAGGATTTAGTTCATTTATGAATCCTAAGTGAATGCCTTGAAAGGTATTCTGTAATATCACAGCTTTGTAAACATAAAAAGGGATTTCATTTCTATTTTTCTTCTACAAAAAGTACTCAAGATTAGTCATATATATTTAAATAATGAGATCAGTAATTTTTTAATCTTTTTTTTTGGTCTTTGAATCTTAATTTTAATAGGTCATTTTAACACCTGAACAAGTTTTGATCCAAACCAACCTGTTGCAACTCTGGCTGCATGTTTCTGGTCGTTTCCTGGCGGAAGAGGAACCTTTTAAGGTGAGGTTCTCAAGGTTTTTGTAGCATTTAAAGAGGTTTAGATTTTAGTTTTTAGATCATTTAATCATATTAAAATTTTATTTTGTGCTCCTTGATTTTCATGATGCATTTTGCTCAAACTTGTTCTCCAAGAAAGCTCTAGGGACTTTAACACAGCAGCTTGGTTGTACTAAGATTACTGTAAACTGCACCCGAGTGGACAAATTTCACTAGTTACTTAACAAGGCAAGTCAATGTGTTGGATTTTATTTAGGGGCACTTTGTCGGATTTATAAAACTATTTTAACTATTTATATGCATTTGTTTTTAATTCAGAACTTGCTTATTAGTTAGTTTTTCCAGAGTTCAGTCTAATGATTTACTCAAACAGCAGAAATTCAGTACAACAGATTATTGCTGCAGCATTTCAAATAAAGTCTGCTTAGTTGGTCATTTTAAAGTGGCAACAAAGGTTTCATTTTTGGCCTGGAGTCTAGTGCCTCTTGCAATTACTAGAAAACGAAAAACCTCAATAATGAAATGCTAAAGTCCTTAGCACCACTTCACTTTTCAAGTTATATATAAAATACCACAAAAACAATATCAACTGAAATCCACAACATTTTTATAAAAAAGAATAATGGAAACCTCTCTGTACTTTTTTAACAAAATGCAGATAGTCTCCACTGTTAACTGAGGAACAAAGATTTATACACAGTTTAGAAGTGGGTCAATATCCTAAACAAGATTACATCACTGACAGAAGTAGCAGCCTAAACACTGACTAAATTATAACAGACATTTCTATAATTCCCTATAGTTTCCCTGTTTGTTTTTCTTTCCAAAGAGACATAAACAAAGAGGAGAGATAAATCACAAGTGGGAAGCAGCATGTTGAGGAAGCAGAGGAGAGAGAGAGGTCAAGAATAAAGAGAAAAAAAATAAATAAGGACGCCCTAGAGACCTACTTCCAGGCTCTGGAGCTGGGATCTGAATCAGCTGACAGTGGAAGCAGACAGAAAGGACCAATAACGGAAGACTAATCAATTTCTCCGAAGTATAAAGAGGGACATGTTTCCCACAGTGCAACATGCAAGGAAGTAACAAACAAATCCTGCAATGATGGCATACATTAAAAAAATGATGCCAATGCAGCTTTGCAAGCATCACAGGTTGTGAAAAAGTTTTAAGCTGAAGTCTGAACAGCCCTAAAAGTCAGCCCTTTGTATGAAAAGCTGTTTTTCATTGAGAAGTACAATATTTCTTCTTTCTCTTATGCTTTTTCCTTTACTGTTTTCTTCTTGCTGTTCCAACCAAAGATAATTTGACTCTTCAGATGTCAGTGCACATACAGCGCCTTGCAGAAGTATTAAAAGTCCTCTGGCAAAAAACTTCTCTCTTTAGATTTATTTTCTTTGAAAATACTCTATAAAGTCATGAGTTCTTACCATTTTTTTTGTAACATAATGGATAGTGTGTGTGTGTGTGTGTTGGGGGGGTTACTACTTTAATTCTGTTGCCCATTGTTTAAGCATCTTTGCTACTTTAGCCCACTCCTATTTCTCTGGTTCAAGATAAATACCTCAAAATCAATAGGACACTTGGTCAGAAGTGCATCAGTGGTCGCCATAATAAGTGCTACCCAATAAGTCTTGATGGAAATAGGATGAACAGGCAGTATGCTCCGTTTGATCAATTCAGTTTGTATAGCGACTTTCTGATATTTCTGGCTTCCAATAGGAGCTATAACATTGCTTCCAAAGAGTGACATGATGTGAAAGCTTAAACGGTTTGTTACATTTCTGTAACTTTTTTTTTGTTTTGTTTTCCAGCATGGCAGATCGGAGTTTGTTTCCCACTCCTATAGTTTGATAACTGTTGACGTGAGGTGAAAGGATAGGAGCTAGGAACAGGAGAGGTGCTATGATTTGAGGTATTCGGAAGGAGCCTGTTTTTCTTTTCTTTCTTTCCCCTTAATACACAAAATATCAGTTTTAATAACTGAGATGATGCGTTGAGCCAAATGCATCACTAAGAGCACCTACGCACTGGTCAAGCAATAATATTACTTTGACCATCGGGTGGTTTGGCTTGACAAAACAGCCGTTTGGGAATCCTTTCGTACCTTTTCTTGGCTACTCACCGCCACCTTGGATAATCAATAGGGGAAACCTAGATACACACACCTAAACAAGGGCACATGTCTATCCCCCCAAACAATTAGACATTGGTTTTAGGCTAAATCTAGTCAGTCATAGTCTTGATGTAGTCCAGAAATGGTTGTTGACTATTGGGCTGTGTTTGGTCAGTCTGATTTTGTCCCACCTTAGTTTATTAATGAACGGTGAAAAGATGTAGAAAACTGGGTTTTCTACATCTTTTCAACGATTTGAAAATTATGTCTTTTCACCTTTAATTTTTCAACCAAATGTAGACGTAGTTTGGACAAATCATGTCATCTTTTCAATGTCTTTTTAACCATTTTTTGCTCAGCTGTTAAAAGGAGATAATGTGTTCACAACACCTTTACCACAGCTACTAGGCTAACTGAAATTTACATCGATCTGGCCTAATTTCACTGTAATTTTAACAACTGACAGAGTAACAGTTGGATACACTAAAAATGTGCTGGTGAAGCACTCTGCCAAGTATCTTATACTTTCCAAACCTAAAATATAGGATTTATAACACAAATCCCCAAAAATTGCTTAAATATAGAAAAGCCACTGCATGTGTTTTTCAGAAAGGTTCAATACTTCCTGTAACTGAGATATTGTGTTTTAAAGTAGTCAAAATTATTCAGCTTTATAATAAAAAAAGCTTAGCTATGATACAACAGTAGGTAAAATAGGGTCATGATTTCATTATTAGGAAAACAATGAGCTCTTTTCTGTTTTTTCTTCAAATCCTGTGCATACATGACACCAAATCAAACAAATCAGTTAATTATAATGTTTTCACTTGTATATAAATAGAGATAGAGGGCTTAATAGAGGGCTGACTAACTGCCAGTAGGCATAATTCCTGCTGTATTTATCCGTCCTTCCATCTGTTTCCATTTGTTCTTGAATGTAGAATTCGGCATTTTCTTTTAATCTCTGCGACCGCCTCCATATTTTACTCTTCAGATGCCCCCTGCCCCTTCATTATCCTCGCACTGCCTTTATCTTTTCCTCCATTTTTTCCATCTAAGTTTATTTGTCTATTCAGCCCTATTCCTACTCTTCATTTCTTTCCATCTGCCTCTTTCTGCCTCTTTATTCATAACTCTCCCTTCCCTTCTAGGACTCTCAAGTGTTTTACTAGCTGCTATCCTCTCTAATAATGTGTGTAGAGCGTATAAAACTTTTATTATGGGATATAAAATATGGTTGTCGTGAAGACTGCCAAGAGTGGAGGAAGCCTGGACGTGATTGGAGCAGCAGATGAGATTAACGGGTTGAACCAAGGACATCTTTTGGAGGTAGGAAGGAGGAAACTACATGGTAAATTCTTCCGTAACTTGTCATCTTAAGAGGATTGTAGTAAGGTCAGCCCACTTATTCATTCATTAACAGCGTAAACCTATTTCGCTTTAGAGAATTTACATTTAACAGAATTTCTAAATGTTCAAAAAAAAATTTCCAATCTCAACTTTTAAGAGTTATCAGTTCTTTATGCAAATTTTAAGGATACAAAGAAAAGTGGAAGACAGGAATAAAAAAACCCTGAAGACAAGAAGAAATGGAGGAAATTGGGAAAGAAGTATGAGTACTAAGAAGGAAGGACATAAAGAAGGACAGAGGAAGGGAGAAAAGGAGGATGGAGACAAAAAATAAAGGAAATGTAATGTTAAGGAAAGAATAAAATGAGAAAATAAAGTAGAATAATTAAATTAAAGACTTTTCCAAACTCGAGGAAACCAGTTTTAAAGAACAGTTTAAGAAACATGAAAATTATAAGTTAGAGACCCAGTATAAATCTGATATTATTTGTAAAAAGCATAATTAGAATGAATACCTTGAGAGGATGTCTGATTAAGCTTGATATCCTCAAGTCAACTAAAAATCAAGCTGGCTCTTTATCTCAGCTGAACTTCATGCAGTCTAATTAAATTTGGGATTACCATCGACTTTCCCCCGGCTTTGATGGTAAACTCCATCCATTTCATCATATTTCTCACTCTATGGAACTGGCTCACTGCAATTGCCGAAAGGCCCCCTGACTCCCAGATCTTGTAAAATTGACTCTACTTTCTTTTTCTTCTTCAGCGCTATTACTTTTTCACAGTGAGAATCAAAGAACAGATACAAAGCTTTTAACTGCATTATGCACAATTTTATTTGCATCGTATACTAATTGGCCACACAGGAAGAATGATAATTAGTGGAAGACGCCACGCTGCATGCACACTAAAACACAGTAGTCCATAAAATGGCAACTGAACAACCTTTCTTTTATGGGTCTCATATGAGTGGATAGCAGTTCAGCCCTTCAAATTAATTTTCATCACTTAGACAAATTTCCCTTACTTATTGCCAAAACTTCACTCCCAGTTCATTCTCTCAATATTAAAACTGTTCTGGATTGTGATTTGGCATAATTATTAATTACTTATTTGCAAAATAATATCAACAACATTTGATTTGAACAGAGTAAAAGTATAAAAAAGGGTTACTGGTTTTTGTATTTTTTTCACAACAAATAAATCTAAGGTACTATTTTTTCTCTATCTCCCAAATTAAAAAAAACAACAACAATGACACAAAGCTGAGACTGAACTAAAGGTAAGGCATTATCAAACATATGGATTGCTGATGAATTACTGTCATTTTAGGACATTTTAAAATCTTTCTAGCAAAATGATGACCATTTCGAAATATTAGGGTGCCTGAACTGTTGGTTATTATGATTTTCTTTACTTTTGTAAGTTTTTGGGACCCTTGAAATATAAAAATCCCATTTTCAGGGAATGGATGCAGATTCTACAGAAAGCACCTGTTCCTTAGCACACAGCATGGCAACCACAGGGTCAGCATTCAACTAAAAGTCAACACCTGAAAATGTGTTTAACATATCTCCCTCACAATTATTAATGCATTAGAGTTCCCTTGGCTGAAATTCTGATCATTTTTACCTCTTTAAAATCCACATGTCAAATGAGATAATATTGTAAGCCAATCCATTTTTGTCTTACCTAATTTTAGTTTGTCTGAGATAAACAAATACAAGAAGCATGACTAGCTCCTGTTTTTGTCCGTTGTTTCCTAGATCTCCCTGTTTCCAGTACAAACATAATGCAAAACCTGCGCACCTGAATAATAACCGACTGAAAACTCAAACCCTAATAAATATTCTATTAGAAGTGTGAATTTATGAATGCATAATAAACAAAGCAGAGGCAAGGTATTTTAAATTAAGAAGTTGCGTCCCGTTTTTGCATTAAAATACCTAAAAAAAAGCTTTGGATCATCATCTGGGACAGTGGCAATCCCTTGTTTTAGCCCTGGGCCAGCTTCTAATTCCTTTCTGTACAAATTCAGAATCTTGTTCACTTTAACATGCTGCCGTCTCTTCTTCGGGCATTGACAAATTCTATTTCAAAATTATATTTGATTCAGCAACGACAATCACTGAGTGATGATGCCAGGTTTGGCAAAATCTGCACATAAAAATAAAACAAAACTAATAAGAGCGCATACACATTTTATTAAAAAACAAAACACAACAAAAAAACATTTTCCGTTTTTTTATTACTCCCTAAAACTCCTGCAGACATGTGAAAAGCAGCCCAAATATTATCAACCTACCAAAAGCTAGTTTTCCTTTTTGTTCAAAAGAAACCCAATTAGACTGAAACCTGCCGGTTCTGGCAACCTGTGTGTCTCCTTGTTTGTTGCTGACTTACCGAATGTAGCTTTTGGTATAACCCACATGCGTTGCAGACGTAGCCTCCGTTAGCATTTTTCCTCCACAAGGACGTCTTGGTGGTGAGACAGTTTGCACAGAAAACCCCACTACCTCTGCGTCGCTGCAAAGAGACAAAACATGCAAGATTAGACGCATAAAGAAAAACTTTTACAGATGAAGAACAATCACTTTAAGGAATAGAAGTAATAACGACAAGGGAAGAGCAAGAAGTGCTGACAACCTTTGTCTAATTTGAAGTAATTCCGTTTTAATGGGCATGCTACAGATGACTGATCCAGTAGATGAGGTTCTGAGATAGGCAGAGAGACTACCACCTTGGCTCTGTGGCTGAAGAACAATGAGTTCTCATTTGCCCCATCCCGTAACAATAGCAGTGACATTAACCCTTTCCAAAACTAACAGCACTGTGAAAGGTAAATCATCCAGTTCAGTGTAATGCACTATATTAAGGATAATGTATAATTTTGTCTTTAAATTGTACTTGCACACCCTGTAAATAATGACCAAAGACTTTCACCTTGCAGCAATGAAAAGTGTTGCTAGGAACAGCTGGAGGCCAAAGCTGGACTTTTGCTGTATGGGCGTATGCTTTCACATATACACACCTCTGCAGTTCACAGTGCAGCGGTGCATACAGAAGCAGTGTGTGCAAAGAAGGGTGTGAAGAGGTGGTGGGGGGGTGAAAAGGCCAATTGTTGTGGCAATGTGCTCCATCACAGTAATGAGCCAATCACAACGTTTCTCCATCCCATTAAGCCTCTGGCCCCACTCGCCACCTTTATGACCCTTTGAGGACAGCACACCTCGTCTTTCTCCTCTGTGACTCCTAGTCTCACAAACCATTTCCATCCCTCTTTCAGTTATTAAAATGAAATTTCATCATTGTATTTATTCGGTCCCCACTTCAGTCTTTCAAATCCTGTTCTCAGCCAAAGAGGGAGCCACAACTGTATTTCCCATGATGACAAAGTGAGAAATTGTTGTGATGAAAGGTAAATTCCAATGCCCAAGTATAGGAAGTAAAAAATGGAAAATATGCATCGGGGTTTGTTTCTATGAGCATATAAGTAAGCTAGGCTGTGGCATGATGTAAGTAGATGTAGGTAACTGTTCAGGGATTGCTAAGAAAGAAAGAAAAAAAACAAATCCAATTCTCCAAACCAAACAGGGCATAGTTTGATATTATTTTAGGGTTATAGACCATTTAACATTTCTTTAGAGAAATGCTGTTTTTTATATAGGTAAAAATTATTTTTGCAAAAATTTGCATGCCTACTCTTAGTACTGCTAAAGGTTTTTTTTTTTTTTCCTTTTTTTATTCTGTGTTTATGACAGCTTAGAGTTACCCATAACTTTAGAGAAATCTCTGAATGTCAAGCTTAAAAAAAAAAAAAAGCACTGATGAGTGCCTCACTTCAGCTACGCTGTGATTAGCTTCAGAGCTACAAATGGAACCACTTCGAGCACCTCCACTCTGCATCTGCTTGGTGTTGCCAGCTAAAAGCATATGAACCCAGTAGGCACAGCTTTGTTTGGGTTACTTATTCATTGCATTTTTTTTTTCACTGCATTTACCAAAGCCTAAAAAACCACTTAATGTTTCTTGCGGGATCCCACAGATGCAAACACATTGAATGACCCAACTGATTTTGTCAAAAAACACATGCAAAACAACCAAAGAAGGAGTGGCACTGTGTGGCAGCTGAAAACGGAGTTAATCAATATAAAGTACACCTGCAGTTTGTTAATAGTCAAGAATAAATATGGTATAATGTGGTAACAAAACCATTCAGGTGAAGTACCAAACCACCTTTTAATAAAAGTAAAAACAAAGAAAACAAAACAACAAAATCCTCATATTGTTTCAGTAAGAATGCTGTTTCTACTGCTCTTTTACATGCTAAATACAGAGATGTCACTAAATGTAGGCTGTTTTTTAGAGATCCAGTGATCACCAGGGTCAGAAATGCTGTTAGATGCCTTCCTGATAAGATGGGGTAGCTACATGGTTACTTTCTAATTTTTTGACCCTTTCAGCCCAGATAAGGAGAGAAAATCTTTATTTTTCTGAATTACCAAGCAATATAGCATGTTTTCTAAACACCTGAGATAATTGAGATAAAAGAGCATCTATAGGATATGTGTGTTATGGCAACCTGAAATCAGACAGAAGACCTCAGCAGTGAAGCACACCAGAATTTCCGTGTTTTCCCACGAGTGCGCGGGGTGCACACCATACCGTCACCACATGTAAAAAGACAGAGCCAGGTGATTGATTGATGCATGTTTCCTGTGTGTGTGTTCACATCTGCATGTGTGTCTAATGTTGCAAGCCAAACAGTGTCTGTCATCAGAATTCGGTTTCCCTCCGAGGTCCTAAATCACTCACATATGGCCCAACAGCTGCCCTTTGTTCAATCACATGTATACCTGAAAATATTTGCTTCCAGCAGCTAATGAAGCAATGCTCGATTTGGATTTGACACTATGATTCAAAAAGTGGTCTTGGGAAACATTCACTACCCTGAATCTGAACCAGAAAGATAGCACTACGTGTGAAGGTATCATTGAAGTGTAGATTACACAGGCAAGGACAGCTTGCATACATATTGAGCTAATAGTTTCCAACTTCCCTTTCAGGCTGCAGCTGTTCGGCTTCATATTTATGGAAATAAGAAAACTCAAATGCTCAACCCTCAAACACAGAAAATTAGGTAAACATAAAGTCTAATGCTATGGTCTGGAAATGCCTTGTGTTGATAGCTGCAAACTTTGTGTGCATCATTGTATGTTTTTTTATTTCTGATTTATTGCTGATACCTGGCCTCTCTCACTCACCTCATCCTGCACAAAAAGGGCGGATAGTAATTACAGTTCAGAGGCTTAATGATGTCTATTTATCTACGGCCTATAATCGTTTATTTAGGTAAAATGGACAAGCACATTCAAAAAGACAAATACGCATTCAAAACTCAGAGATGTTCAATGGAGAGTTGCAATTACTCCAGTCCCTCATGTCAAAGTGAAGTCTGCAGTTTTTATTTTCATTGGTTAAAGTTTTTCCTTCTTGTTAGAAGGAATATTAAATTCTGGATCGAACATTATTAGAATGCATGGGAGTTGGCGAGCAAATAGAGGGATGGGAGGATATTTGATAATTCCAATGTGGACAGATCAAGCAGATACATGGATTTGTAGAGATTAATGGAATACTGAAATGACTGAAACTCTAGTAGACAGGTGAATTATTCAATGAATGACTGATAGATGTAAAGGGTAATAAAAAGACAGAAGATGGATGGATGGATGGATGGATGGATGAATGGATGGATGGATGGATGGATGGATGGATGGATGGATGGATGGATGGATGGATGGAT